TTCTAGTGCATGTGTTCATTCTCTCAATCATGAATAAAAATAAACTTAAGAAAATTTGATGTATTATTCATTCCTAGTTCTAAGTGGTGTCACATGCTTACACAGAAAATTATAGAAATAGTAGAATTTTAACAATATTTTAGGAGTAACTCAGTGTCATCAAACAGCCAGCCAGACAGTAAATTGACAGTTTCATTATGTCCCTTCACTGTGATAGATGCAGAAGATGCAAAGATGAACAGGACCAAATCCCTGTCCTGTCCTGATTAAGAGGATCACTGTCTAACAGGAGAGAGGCCAGGAAATGATAATGAGACAGTAAGAAAAGTGATCAAATACAAGTCATCACAGGGATATCCTAAAGGCTATTAAAATGGGAATGTATGTTGCCCTCATGCTGGGACTCCTGAGTGCTTCAGCTTATAGCTCCTGTGTCCTTCTCTTGTCGTCAATTGACACTCCTTGCTTCTGTCAATTTGTCTGCCTTCAGATGACATTGCCATTCTGTAATGTGCTGCTTCTAATCTGCTGTGGGCTGGAAACCAGATACCTGAACTTGATGGAAGGTTGCCCTCTCAAAAGGCCTTCTCTGACCTTGTCATCTAAGATTGCATCCTCCTCCTCCTACACACACACACACACACACAGAAAGCTCTGCAACCCCTTACCCTGCTTGATTTCTCTTTGTGGCACTTAATACTACTGACGTCATGTTATGTTTATGTGTTTATGCCCTATAGTCTGCCTTCTTCATTAGAATGTAAGTGCCAGGAGGGCAAGGACTCTGCCAGTTTAGTATACCTTTGTATCTAGCACCTATAACATGGCCTGACTTAGAGTCAGCTTTTTAATAAATATTTATTGAATAAGTGCTAATAATAACTAATAAGTTTCCTTTTCTCTTATTTTTGTTGAGTTATAATTTGCATACGGTAAAGTACGCCTGTCTTAAGGGTTTAACTTAATGAATACTGATTATACCTGCACACATTCCAACCCCCACCCAGACCAATATAGAGAGCATTTCTAGTATTCACTCAACAGGCTCCCTCAGACCTTTCCCAGTCAGGACCTCCTCCAAAAGATAAGTACTCTTTTGGCTTCTAACATCGTTGATTAGTTTTATTGATTTTTAAACATTTGTTATAAATGGAATCATGTTGTTGAGGCTCTTATATGTCAGCCTTTTCAATATGATATCTGTGAGATTCATCCATGTTGTGCGTGGCAGCACTTCATGCTTTATCGTTGTTTGTAATCATCATCATGTGAATTTACTGCCATGTGTTTAATCCACTCTACTCATATATGGGTTGTTTCCAGGTTTGATTGTTAAAGAGAGTTTTGAGAAGGGTCCTGCAAGTCTCTGTGAGTAAAGGGCATGGATTGGATGGCAACTATTAATATTTTGGGTGGTTTTCCTCATTTTCCCATTTTGTCAGCCCTACATTTCTGGAACTATGCCCTTTCTTCCTGCTGCTTCAGAGTTCTGATTTATGCATGGACTTGTGATGTCTGCCTGGAATTAAATCAAATTTGCCAAACCCCTAGCTGGCCTGATGGTGGAGCAAACCCACATTCCTCTGGTTCACTCCAGGACAATGAAACACAATGCTGATGAACTATACTTTCTGATGCCTTTCCTTCCGCTTTCTCTTTTGTCCTTGGTTCTTGTTCATATTTGCTAATTCCCTGTACTAACTGGGGGCATATTTGGGCCTAATGTGTTTTATAGCAGCATTTCTCAACCATGGCTGCACATTATAATCACTAGGGGAATTAGAATACACACACACACACGCACACACACTCATGCCTGGGCCCCATTCCAAAGCAATTAAGTCAGTGTCTCTGAGAGTGGGACTGGGGTAGTATTATTTTTGAAACATTTTCTAGGTGATTCTGTTAGTAAGCCAAGTTTGAGAACTATTGCAGGATATATTAGATCCTAGACAATAGTGTAGATGTATAGAATCAACTCACCCCTTCTCCTCCCTCCCCCAATCAGGCAGAATCAGTTTGTTTCCACACAGCCAGATGGGACTCTTGAATGCTGTCAGCTTTATAAAGTCAAGGAGCAACTTTATATGAGAACTGCTTAAAAATAAGGAAGTCAAGGAATGTGGATTTTTCTTCTACAACATTAGTTTCTCCATAGTGTCTAGAATAGTACTAGTTAAAATTTGGCTGAATCAGATCCATCATTTAGACTCTAGGCTGTGGTGGGGATGCCTTGACTACCGTTGAATGGGTACTTCTGAAAGACTTGTGACTTAAAAAAATGGGCACTATGCATAAGTGAATTAGTGACACTAGGTTACTAGTGTCATGAAGTCAGTGTCCATTTTTTTAAATCCTCTTTTTCCTGACAACACTCAACACTATTTTGTCCACTGTAACTATTTGTTATTTATTACTCACCATTTATGAGTCAATTAATCCTCACTATGACAACAGCAGTCATACTGAATGCTTCTGTGTTATGCCCTGTTCTAGGCTCTTTAAATGTATTAATTTATTTACTCTTTTCAACCCTATGAGTTGAGTTTTCATTATCCCCATTTTATAGATTAAAAAAAACAAGGCACGGATCAGTTAAATACCATGCCAAGATCTCACAGATGGTAATCAGTAGAGCTAGGATGCAAGTGGTTTGGCCTCAGAATCTGCTTTCTTATCATCGACCCATGCTTCTCAATTTTTTTTTTTGAGAGGTTTTTGCTATAGGGCGCATGCGATCACCAGAAACACAGAGAGACAGACAGACAGAAAGTGAGAAATCACCCCCTGGGGTGATGGCCATGCCGCAATCCTTCCTCCTCCATTCTTTTCTCAGGATCTTGGGCATGCACGCACATGTGCCCAGTGTGAGTTTAAGCCACTGGATCTGGGACTCGAACTGTGGTCGACTACATGAGAGTCCAGTGACATAGTCATTACGCAAACTGCTGGTCCCATGCTTCTCAAATTTTAATGTGCATCAAAGGCACCTGGAGATCTTATTAAAAATGCAGATTCTGACTCAGTAGATCTGGAGGGGGGGACCTAAGAGTCTGCATTTCCTAGGTGCCATTGATATTATAGATTCATGAACCACACTTTGGGAAACATAGCACATACCTTATGAGATAATTTCCATTATTGTCCCCATGTTCAGATGAGTACTCTGAGGCTCATAGAGGATAGTGGATTAAGCAGCTTCTCACAGTTAATACATAGTGAGACTGCAATTGGGTATCAAAGGTGATTGCTTAGCTACTATGATTGGGTGCTTGGTAAATGGCTATTGAATAAGTAAACTGACATTCAATGCTGCGTCCAACAGGCCACCACTATATAGTCAAAGACGAATGTAATGAGTAGGCCCCAATTAATTATATATCTTTCACATGCATTTTTCACACTCGGGAAATGAATCCAGTATTGGCCTTTATCTTTACTATGTTTTCTTCTCATGGCCTAAATAGGTTGTTCCACCCTTGCTGTACGCAGGGAACAAAAAAGGAGACAGCTCAGCGAGTTTCTGCAGGGGATAACTTTCTGCTTGTTTATCTTTGCTTTTGCTTTTGAAAAAGGAGCACAGACCTGGCATCCTGCTGATATGAATTTTTTTTTATTAAATTGCATGAACAGCAATACCAGTAGACATAAAAGCAATATTCACTCAGAAGTACTGCCACTATTTAAAGTTCCGTTATCAGCAAAGGCATCATCTTCCACTTTTTGGATGAAAGGAAATAGTCCCATCAATAGCCTTGATTTTTATTTACTGCCATTGTGTGGTGGATGAGATTCAGGTCCCCATCATTGTTTCCTGATATAGATATATGAACCTCTCAAGAACAAGGTTCATACTTACCTGGCAGGGGAGATACCATGATCATGAAGGTGGTTTTCCTAGGGCAAGGCTTATCCAAGGCTTATCCGGATGTGCTGACCCCTGTGATTTCCCATATGTGGGAAACTCAAATGCATAATTTGTGATAGGGAGGGACTGAATTCTCACTTTCCCCTGAAATTTAAAAAGAAAAAAAAAGAACAAGGTCATCAGTGTTCCAGAAAGAACTCTTAACCCACTCTTGCCACTCTAGATAATGTTTTTCAACCATATTTGTGTGTGTGTGTGTGTGTGTGTGTGTGTATGTGTGTGTGTTTGTGTGTACAATATCAAAGATCCTTTGCCTAGAAGTAAATGTATTTACTTATTAGATTATTTTAGGAGGCACTTGTTGGCTCAGAGAACTGGAGGGAACAAAATGTGTAATATAGAACTATGTGACTCATGAAAATATGTGACTTCATGCAACAGAAATCAGGGGTGAAATCATAGTGTTTCTACATTGTAACTGAGTCTAGTATTAAGAAAAGGACTCCTGGCTGAGTTTTACTGAATAGCATTCTGAAGCTGTTTTTTTCCTTCACTATGTGATATGTCGGTGAGGTACTGGTTTGTCTCATTTATCACTGCCAGAAATAACAGACCTGAGCTGAAGATTAGCAGCTATGTTCATTTAACTCATTAATTCATTCAATAAAGGTTGTTGAATGTCACTGTGCTCGATATTCTAGAGGTACCAGAAACCAAGATATGGTCCCTGCCCTCAGGGAGTTCACTGGGGATACAAAATGACTGGGGATACAATACAAACAGAAAAGAGGTTAATAATAAGAGATGGTGTGTGGCAAGGATAATACAGATGGTGCACCATGTCTTATATGGAGTTTCACTAGAGAGTGGCGGCTCGCCCAGCACATCAGCCTCATCTGGGAGCCTGTTTGAGATTCATATTCTTGGCCTCTACCTCAGACCCACTGAATATGAAGTTCCATGGATGGGACCCAAGGGTCTGCATTTTAACAAGATGCTAAGGTGATTTGTATGCACATTAAAATTTTAGAAGCACTCTTCTAAAAGATCACTTTTATCAGAGGAAGAACATGTTAAGGTCTTGTCTCATGGGCTTATAATTTAAAACAATGAAAATTGAGTATGAATAATCACATATAGTAAGGAGCATTCACAGATGTGACTGTAGAAACAAAGAAGGTGGTAAAGAAATTTTGCCTGATGGTAGGTGAGAAGATCTGTGAATTTTTCCTGGAAGGGACCTCGGAGGATGGGGAAATACCAGTTATGAACATATTTCGCTATAATAGAAGGCCTGACTGAGAGTAACTTAAAGAAAAAGGGTTGAGGGACCAGCAGATGGCGTAATGGCTATGTCACTGGACTCCCAGGTAGTCGACTGCAGTTCGAGTCTTGGATCTGGTGACTTAAACTCATGCTGGGCGCATGTGCATGCATGCCCAGGATCCTGAGAGGAGAATGGAGGAGAAGGGATTGTGGTGTGGCCATCCCCCCTGAAAGGGGTGATTTTTTGCTTTCTGTCTTTCTGTCTCTGTCTTTCTGGTGAGCGCACGCGTCCTATAGCAAAAACCTCTCCAAAAAAAGGAAAAGAAAAAAGAAACAGGGTTGTCCTTTTCCACACAAGTAGTAGTCTGAAGGCAGGTGGTCCCCAGTACTGATTCAGGTATTCGAGTATATGAGGGTTCTGGGTCAGTGTCTCTGTAGCCCTCTTCTTTTCCCCTCATGATCATGAGATGGTGGCTGTAGCTTTGTGAATCACATCCTCATTGAACCACATTTAAATGCAAGAATGAGACAAGTATAGCACAAATAATTTTTCTTCTGCTTTCCTATCAAGGAGGCAACTCTTTCTAGAGGCCTCCCAGCAAGCCACCCTTATAACTCATTGACTAGAATAAGGATTATAACCATCCATAGACTAGGATCTGGTCTGCCTTCCATGACTTCTAACAATTTCAACCCAATATTCCAGAATAATTGAGCTTCTGTTACCAGAGAACAAATACTCTTCAATGCCAAAGTTTTGGGGTAAGCTACCAACAGCACAGAAGGACTTCAGTGAGGCTTAAGGGGATTCCTGGGAGAGGGAAAGGCATGAATAAAGGCATGGAGGGTGAAATACATGTGAAGAATAGTTGCTAAATGAGTTCGACTAAAGCATAAGAGTTTTACAAATGAATTTTCAGTTTTTTTTTTTTAATCTATGGAATTCTTTGTTCAGTTGGAATCATATGTGGAAATCTAATTCACAAAGGAAGGGAAAGCATGACTACTTTAATCAGAAGTAGGATAGGACACCTAGAGCTTGTCTGCTCAGCCTCTGTACAACTTAAGTTGAGAGGGCTCCTTCTTTCATTTATTTATTTTTTTAAGTTTCTTTATTTCTTTTTTTTTTTCTTTCTTCCATTAGTAAGAGAGAGACCCCTAACAGGTTCTTGATGCCACAACCCACCCTTAGCCTCAACCAGCCCCGCATCATGGGTATGCATGTGCATACCAGGTGTCCAGAGGGGTCTCTGGATGCAAATCTGGAGCCTTCTAAAAAGTTTTATTGAGGAACAAACTGAAAACGAATGCCCCAGAAACCAGAAACTGCTACTTTAATTCTGCCACACGCAAGGTTCTTTAGGGCCTGCTCCTTACTGGGGACCATGAGACATTTATCAGGATCACCCCTTTGAACTCAAGCTGGAACTTCACAGATATGTGTGGAAAATATAATGATCCAAGTTGGGCTTGTGTGTTTGTTTTAATGGTGTTATTCTTTGCAAACACTACATGTGACCTTGTGCCTATTAATTCTATTTCTGACACTGAATTGCTAATACAAGAGTAAAAGAGAACATTATAGAAAAGCAACCAGAAGAAGGGGAACTCTATTCCTGGTGATAAATGGCTCATCTCTTCACCTCCTGCCCTTCCCTTCATAGTTAACCAGTGTCATTGTACCATAATACCATGAACTGGGTGGCTTAAACATCAGAAATGGGGCCAGCAGGTGGTGTGGTGGTTAAGGTGCTAGACTCTCACATGGCCAGCCATGGTTTAAATCCCGGACCTGGCAGCTCAAAAATCACACTGAGCATGTATTCATGTGTGCCCAAGACCCCAGGAGGAGGATGGAGGAGAAGGGATTGCTGTGGGTGATATCTCACATTCCCTTTACCTGTCCCTCTCCATCTCTAGTGAGTGTACAGACCCTATGGCAAAAAGCTTTAAAAAAAATCAGAAGTGTATTGTCTCATGGTTCTGGAAGCCTGAAATCTCAATTCGAAGTGTCAATATAGGGCTGGTTCTTTCCGAGGAGGGGAATCTGTTCCTTGCCTCTCCTCTAGCTTCTGGAGTTGTGCTGGTAATCTTTAGCATTCTTTGGCTTGTAGATCTCTGCCTTTGTCTTTATGCGGCCTTCTCCCTGTGTGTTTTCACATTGTCTTCCCTATGTGTATGTCTGTCTCTGTGTTCAAATTTCCCCCTTTTATAAGATACTATCATATTGGATTAAAACCACCCTAAGAAGCTTTATATTGCATAATCTTATTGTACACATTGCAAGCATATGTATTAAGAGAACCTTTGGCATTGTACTTAACTGAATGTAGTGTCAAAGACTAGTTACAGGAATGATGTGAGAGAATAGAAAATATATGAAAACCTAATAAATACTATTCCATACATAATTATAAGATTTTTGAGTATTATTTGTAACTTCTTTATTTTACATCCTGGTCCTATTGCACCATGGCACAAAATGCATGTCTATTAAGAAAAACTTGATTTTTTTTCTATTTTACTTTACATCTGAGTTCTTATGTGTAATAAAATTATATTTGAAAAAGGACAAATATTAGAAACCCCCCTTTATTACTTCAACTTAATCATCTGTTTCCAAATATATTTGTATTGACAACTCCAAGAGATTAGGACTTCATTCTCTCTTTTTGGTGGGACACAATTCAATCCATCACATACCCCATGTGCCAAACCTCTACTTCCTTTTCCCTGGGACGGTCCTCTCTCACTCACAATGCCAGTGGTCATGCTCCATCATTTCAATCTGTATATAGTGGACTTCAGTGGAGAAGGTGGATTATTTAAAAGAATGCTTCGTCCTTACTGTTCCATTTGAAGAAATAGTTGTATAGAGCAGTATGAAAAGAAAACACTGGAACTAAATTATATAATCTTGTGCATAGAATCCTGAGTCTAAATAAAAAAAAGAGAAGAGTCAAATGACTGGGTAATAATTATCATAATTATTACCAATATTATCACATATAGGGCACTTTCACACGGATTCTCATTTGAAAAGATATTCCTTTCTGCCAGTGATCAAGATCCGTTTTTCATATCCACTTTTGCTCCATAATAAATTCTTCTTGAGGATGTTTTCTGACAGGATTGTCTGCTGAAAACCCTTTACTTAGAGATGTAACCAGAATCTTCCTAAATTTAGCAGAGTTCATGCAACACTGAGCTGAAACCCAAGTAAAGGAAAATAGAGAAAGACAGTAAATGACGCAAGAAGAAATATAGGATGAAGGACACTTAAAAAGGTAAGATTAAAATTGGATTGAGCCATGTTACTTTTAGATTATGTAGTCTTAATTGTGTGATATACTTTATTATTAAACTTTAAAATTTACTAATTAAATATTACTTCTTAGTAACAAAATCTGCCTTTGATCAAGGGAGCAAAAAAAAAAAGACATTATTCTTCGGGCAGTAGTCTTTCCACTTTTACGTTTAACTCTGCTGTCAAATATTAAAACCATTTCCTCTCACTCAGTGGAAATTTCCTCTTATCCCATTTTCCCTGGAAATGGAAAACAGCTACACAGCGCATCCATTCAACGATCCGTGTACTCTAAGATTCTTAATTTGCATCATCAATTCTTTGCTTTCCTTTATCCCAATCTGTCCACAAACTCTGTTCATTTCTCTCCTTCAGAGCATTTTTCTCCCTCAGTGTAGATTCCCTGTATTCATAAAAGCATGACACGTTTAGCTATCACTCAGTCACTCCCACCTAAAATGCCATTCCCTTTTAATTTTTTGCCAAAAACATATCACTTCTTCCTTCAGGACTTAGGGTAGAACACACATAAGGATGCCATTTGACTGATGAAGGATAAAACCCTTCCTAAAGA